TCCGATTACTCCGCTTCCCATAGGATCAAATCTCCTCAAAATAGCCGCCTTTTCTCCCAAACTCGCGTTAATTCCATTCCTATCCATCGCCGATAACAGCACTGCAATATCAACAACCCCAGTGCCAAGGGAATCCAACTCCGAAAAACCACTGAGAAAAACAACACCATTTCATTTAGCGCACGCCCTGGTAATCGATTTAAATACATTCTTAATAGAATCAACTCACAATAAACAACGACAACACTCTCTCACTTAGCGCGCGCCCTGATAATCGATTTCAATACATTCTCAATAGAGAAGCACATCAATATCAACTCACTATAAACAACGACAACACACTATTTCATTTAGCGCACGCCCTGATGATCGATTTGAATCCCTTCTCAATGCCTACATTCTCAATGAATCTTCATTGACGACCAACTCCTGAGCTGCGGAGGCTTCCTCGAACAACGCCATGAACAACTTTTCAATTGCCACGCTGAACTTCTCCAAAAGGCAAACGTCGGCAGGAAATCTGATATAACAAAATTTCACACAAAACCAATTCAGACAGAAATGTGGAGATTCCAACAATAATTTACCAAATTTTTTTCCTCGGAATCTTCATGTTTTTATCACCAACAAAACAACGAGAATTTCCCAAAAATTTTTTTCTTCAGAATTTTCATAACACATGTAGTTGACCATATACATATTTTCCAACACTGGGATGAAGTCGACGCCCCAATAAGAATTTCCTTATCGTCAATTACACAGAAAACATAAAAGTTTACAAAAACCAACAACAAAAATTCCCCAAAATTTTCTCAGAAATTTTCATATTTTTCACCAAAACACGCAGTTAACCATTTACATATCTTCCTCCCCTGAGCTCAAAAACCAATCAAAAATTTCCTCAGAATTTTTATATTTTTCTCACCAACATACAAAAACCAACCAAAATTTCACCAAAATTTTCTCACAAATTTACTTACTCCTCAGAATTTTCCCTAATAACAGCAGCTTTTCTAGCCTCAACCGATGCCGGTAAAATCATATCCGCAAATTCCGTAAAATTTAACGTCCCATTACTCGGGTTGTAATACTTAACCAAAACTCGACAGTCCGCCACACTCATCTGACAAAAACAACAATAATAATTTCGTGCCGCAGTGACGACGCTGACTACCAACAACAACCGTTGTTATAATTTCGTGCCGCAGTGACGACGCTGACTACCAACAACAACCGTTGTTATAATTTCGTGGCGCAGTGACGACGCTGACTACCAACAACAACCGTTGTTATAATTTCGTGCCGCAGTGACGACGCTATCCCCCACAGCCTGACCCCAAATCCAATATGCGTCATAGCCTGCGACAAGTCTCTAGCGTTAATAAACCCCTTCCCCTCCGTGTCAAACTCCGCCCAAAGGCTTCCGAATGATCCGTAAAACGACGAAGCGAATGTATCACGTGCCTGAAAATACACTTGTTTTTTGTGAAAAAAATTTCCGTAAAATTTATTTTTTTGGGGAAAAATTTTCCGGATATTTTTTTCAGTGTTGGAGGATGAATATATGCTCGCTTTCCTCAGCTGAGCTCAGGAGTGTGAAAAACATCAACATAAACAACCACAGTTCTCACTGTAAACAACAACAACAGCAAGTCATTTAGCGCACGCCCTGGTAATCGATTTCAATGCATTCTTAATAAAATGGAGAACATGACTATCAACAACCACAGTGCTATGAGAACTCACTATAAACAACAACGACAACTGGCTATTTCATTTAGCGCGCGCCCTGATAATCGATTTCGGACCTCAGGAGTTCACATACGAATTCCGATGAATTCACGAACTAGGCCTTCGGTGCTCGATTAGTCCGCATCATTTTTATCGAGAATTTGGGAAATAATGTGAAATTTATTTTCAATTGATCTTGCCATAGATCTCAAATCTTCACCGTCAAATAAGTCTTGCAGTGAAGAACCGCAAAGGCAGAAAAATGATAATATTTTTGTCTTGCGTCTTATTTCCGCTGTCAACTCTTAGTGCTAGTTGTATGGCGTATCAGTTATTACTATATTGGAGTAGCTGCGATTACTCAATGAAACCTACATACCGGTTCGATCCCCGGACTGGACATTTTTCCGTCAGAAAAAATTTTCTGCAAACCCGCGGAGTTTACAACTACAAAGATGCTTTGTAGTTTAGTAAAAATAATTCATCACAACTGCACGCATGCACAACGCAAAAGTGGCCATTGTGGGGGTATCGCTTCGCTACATCCGTAATAAGTTTTATGAAAAATATTTTTGCTTTCCACAGCTCTACCCACGAATTCGGGTACAAGTGTTCAAAGCCAACAACATTTCCCCCGAAAAAATTGTTTATAAATTTTCATATTATCACCAACACATGCAGTTTATATTTTCCTCAACCGAA